ACACCAACTTTAAAGGCGCATAACTCAAAAACCACAGTAGCTAGCAAAAGTTAAAAATTACTAAGATATGTAAAATTTTATGCTGAGCAATTTTGTGATTTCCAGTTTTTTGTTAACTATCTTGGTTTTTGAGTTATGCGTCTTTAAAGTTTGCACCAACACCCTCAGAGAGCGATATGAGACGCAGACAACTAGCCTCTCTCACTTCTCTGTGTCTCTTTTTTCTATCTGCATCCAGTTCAACTTTTTGATGCTGATCTTGTACGAAAAGTGACGCGTTGTTAATCAAATCAAATCAAGCTAAATCATGATATCACCCTGATAAAACTTTTTTGATCTTTGAAAAATTGTTTTAACTAAAAAATTTTAGATAAACTAATGAAATCGAATTAGAACGGAAACTACAAAACTTACTTAATTTTATGATCCCCCACATTTTTTGACTTTGGCGGGAAATTTGAAAAGTTTGAATATTTTGTAAACAACACGTCATCAAGCTATATTCCATCTACTGCTTTCTGGGTCACTCACTTTAAAGACGAATATCTCAAAAACTAAAATAGCTATCAAAAATTTGTCGACTACAAAATTGCTCAGCATAAAATTTTACACATTTTTGTAATTTACACCTTTTTGATAACTACAGTAGTTTTTGAGATATGCGCCTTTAAAGCTGATGTATCCTATAGGCGCAGTGGGCGAAGTGTCGTTAGAGACGCAGACAGCTAGACACTCTCGTTTCTCTGCGTCTCTCTTCACTTTCTTTTGGATTGTATTATTGGGTTCCTTATCAAGTTTAGCTTGGCAACATTTTTATCAATTTATTTTTAAAAAAAGTTTTTTTGAAATTTTGCCGCGACCAACTTTTCGCGGCTTTTCGCGCCTGGCAGGGCCTGACACTATGCCTGATAAGGCGTCATTTTTCAAATGTGCACTTTTATTCAAAAAAATTTGACCTAAAAAAGCCAAAAAGAGTTAAAGCGAAGAGACGCGGACAAAAGGAGCATCTGAGAGAGGGTACTGTAACTTTAAAAGCGTTTATCTCAAAAACTAAACAAGCTAACAAATAGTTGCTGTCTAGTAAAAGATAGCGCATAAAATTTTACACATTTTATTTGTTAACAACTTTTTTCTAGCTACAGTACTTTTTGAGTTATGCGCCTTTAAAGGGTAGTCGTCCGACGGACAGAACGCGCGCGGCAACTTTAAAGGCGCATAACTCTAAAACTACTGTAGCTAGAAAAAAGTTGTCAATTACAAACATGTGTCAAATTTTATGCTGAGCAATATTGCAATTGACAAAATTGAGCTAGAATTCTTTGCTTTTGAGATAGAGCGTGTTTTCTGATCCTTCTTTTTTTAGCACTGACTTTTAGCTCACCTAACTTTAAAGGTGCATATCTCAAAAACGAAGCTAGCTACAAGAAATTGGTTAACTAGAAAAATAATCAAAATCTGGTGATAATTATCTCTCGCTAATTATCTCACCAATTAAATCCTCCACAAACGCGTCATTATCATTTCCATCAGTTGTTGCTGCTGTCACCAGACACGTTCTATCCGATGCATCATCGATTTTTGGCATTCTGAAGAAGTTTTAACCTTAAAAAAGGATTTTGGACAGGAAAAAGCAAATATGCTCTATTGAGAACTGTGAATTCTCTAATTTAGAGTGATTTCTCAATGGAGCGCGTTTAAAAAAGGCCTTTTCCCGGATTTTTTTTTCGAAAAAAAAGGAAAATGTTCAAATTTTTTAGGCCAATTTAAAAATATTTTCCAATTTAATTATTTTTTTTTTTGCAAAAAAAGATAAAAAAGAACATAGAACATGGACAATAAACGAGATGGGAAACCGATAGATGGTGAGAGAGAGAGAGAGATAAGAGACGCAGAGAAAAAGAGAGGGGGAAAAGAAGGCAGAGAAAAAATTGGGGGAAAAAAGAAAGAAGAAGAAGAAGTGAAATTGATAAGAAATGATAATTGATAAGAAAGAAAGAAATCAGTGGAAAACACAAGATTTTTGAATTTTTTTGAGAGCTGAAAATTATAGAAAAATTTAAAAAAAAAATTAAAATTGAAAAATCAAAAAATTAACTTTTTTAACTTCTAATTCTTTAATTTTTAAAATTTATTATTTTTTTAAAAATTTTAAAAATTTTAAAAAATCAGAATCAAATTAAAAAAAAAAAAAATTAATTTTTAATTTTTTTTAAATTAAAAAGTTTTTAAGTAAAGAATGAAAAAAAAATTAATGTTAAAAATTTAAAAAAAAATGTTTTTTCCAATTTTCAGAAATTTTGAATTTCTGGCTGAAGTTTCTAGAAAAATCAATTTTTTCTATTTTTTGAAGATCCATTTGTCCAAATTGCCCCAGAAAAAAAAGGGGAAAATAATTATTTCCAAAAAAATTCAATTTCATTCTAAAAAAGAGAAAAATCGATAAAATCAGAGCACAATGAATGCTATAAATGCTATATGGAGGTGGAAAATATGCAAAAAAAAATGCGGCACCTATTCACAAAAAATGCACAAAGAGCTACTCGGAATGGCACAGGATATCTAAAAAATAGGATTTTTTAAAAACACAAAAAAAAAACCAATTCTACAAGAATAATCTATTTTAATCAATCAATAAAACCGAATTTTTTAGTTTAAAAAATCAAAAAATCGAGTTAATTAGCTACCAATTAGCTACTAATTAGTGGTTGTGTGTCTCCTTGAGTCCGTCCATTGGATAGTGCTCCTTGTACTCCTTGATATGCGCATCCAGCTCATCTCTCTGACGACGTAGACGCAGTGGAAGCTCATCGTAGACGTCATCGAATAGGTCGTGATAATGAGCCTTCTTTCGTTTTTCAGCAGCCGAGAACTCCGTGAGCACTCGCTTCTTCACCTCCTTTTGCCAGTCCTGGAATAATTGAATTTAGTGAAAAATGATTGAAAATGAGCCGAAATTTGGCTTTTCTCGGTAAAAAATGACCTAAAATAAGGCCATCAAATTTGAGCCAATCTATCTGGGTTACTGTAGGAGGTATCGAAAATCTGTTAACTGATAAAATTTTACTGATATTATGCTGAACATTTTATCAATTGACCACTTTTTGATATCTCTCACAGGAACCGAGATAAATTGGCTCAAAGTTGACGGTTTTTTAAAGGCCAAAGTAGGCCTGTCAACTTTGAGCGCCTCTATCTGGGTTACTGTAGGAGATATCAACAAATTGCCAACTGATGAAACATTTATCATAATATTAATAACAATTTATCAGTTGACAGATTCCTGATAGCTGTTACCGAAACCGAGATATAGGGGTTTCAAGTTTGATAGCCCTTTTGGCTTGTTTTGGCTTACTTTAAACAGTCTAAAATAAGCTAAAATAAGGCCATCAACTTTAAGCCCCCCATATCTCGGTCCCTATAAAAGATATCAAAAATCTGTCAACTGATAAAGGATTGATCATCTTATGAGGTACTTTTTATCAGTTGACAGATTTTTGATATCTCTTACAGTAAGATAAATTGTCTCAAAGTGAAAAGTAAATTTTGGCATATTTTGGCCTTCAAAAACAACCAACTTTAAGCTAATTTATCTGGGTTACTGTAAGAGATATCGAAAAATCGCCAACTGATAAAAGATTGCTCATCTTATGATAAACATTTTATCAGTTGACAGAAATCAGGTATCTCTTACAGTAACCGAAATAATGCCTACCTTCTCCTTCTCCTCATTCCACCATCCACGCTCGGTGATGTACTTGTTGAAGCGAGTGATCGGGTGATCCTTATCACCCCACGTCTCCACCTCCTCCGCTGATCTATAAGCCGTGGAGTCGTCGGATGTCGAGTGATGTCCCAGACGATATGTCATCGCTTCGATGAGCACCGGGCGGTTGGTCAGAGCCACACGGCGAGCCTCCTTCGTGGCGTTGTATACCGCTAGGAGGTCGTTTCCATCAACGCTGGAAGAGAAGAAGTTGAATAGATTGTACGTAAATTTGGCTTAAATCGCTCAAAAATAGCTTAAAATCGCTAGAAAAAAGCTAGAATATCGCTCGAAAATATGACTTTAAAATCGCTCAAAAATCACTAAAAATCTCTTAAAAATCTCTGAAAATCGCTCGAAAATCGCTCAAAAAATTGCTTAAAAGACAGTTCGAAAATAGCTCAAAACAGCTCAAAAATCGCTCAAAAATAGCTCAAAAATCACTGAAAATCACTAAAAATTCCTCAAAAAAGCTCAGAAATGACTCAAGCTTTAAGCTTTTTTCGAGCGATTTTCTAGCGATTTTTATGCGATTTTAGAGCTATTTCAGGGCTTTTTCAGAGCGATTTTAGAAATATTTTCTAGCGATCTCTAGAGCTATTTTGAAGCTGTTTTAAGACTATTTTAGGCGATTTTAGAGCGATTTTCTAGCGATTTTAGAGCGATTTTAAGCCATTTTTTGAGATATTTCAGGACTATTCTAGAGCTATTTCCTAGCGAGTTTTAGAGCTATTTTCTAGCGATTTTGAAGCTAGTTTCTAGCGATTTAAAGGCGATTCTAGAGCTATTTCCAAGCTATTTTCTTGCGATGTTTTGAGCTATTTTAAAGCTACGTTCTAAGCTAATTTCGAGCAATTTTCTAGCAATTTTTTCTAGCGATTTTCAGGCTATTTTTAAGCGATTTTTTGGCTATTTCCCAGCAATTTTAGAGCTATTTTCTAGCGATTTTCAAGTTTTTTCCTCACCGAATGGTATGCAACCCATAGGCGGGTCCCTTTCCAGCGATACCATCTCCACCGTATTGCTCACTGGTTGGTGTCGAGATGGCATAACCGTTATTCCGACAGAAGAAGATAATTGGGCATTTGAGAGTGGCTGCAAAGTTGAACGCCGCATGAGCATCACCCTCTGAAGCTGCTCCGTCTCCAAAATAGACGACGACGATGCGTTGATTGTCTTTTTGTTGTTTGAATGCGTAGGCGGAGCCGACGGCTTGTGGTAGTTGAGTGGTGAGGGGGGAGGAGATCGTCACAAAGTTACGCTCTTTGGCTCCAAAGTGCATCGGCATTTGGCGACCTGGAAATGAAGAAATTCACATTATTAGCATTTTAAGCCAATTTAGGCTAATTTAAAGTCATTTCAAGGCATTTTAGGCCAATTTCAAGTCAATTTTGAATTAATTAAGGCCATTTCAAGCCAATTTAGGCTAATTTAAAGTCACTTTTAAGCCAATTTAGGTCAGTTTTCAGCCAATTTCAAGGCATTTTAGGCAAATTTAAGTCAGTTTTAAGCCAATTTAAGCCAATTTAAGCCAATTTAAAGTCAATTTTAAGCTAATTTAGGCCATTTTAAGCAAAGTTAGGCCAATTTTAAGTCAATTTAGGCCATTTTGAGCATATTTTGAGCACGTTTAAAGCCATATTAAGCTTATTTCAAGTCAATTTATGCTACTTTGAGTTAGTTTTAAGGCAATTTTAGACCATTTAGGCCAATTTTATGCTAATTTAGACAATATTCAGCCGATTTAAAGCCATTTTAAGCAGATCTAAGCCCGATTTAAGCGTTTTGAACCAATTCAGACTAATTTTAAGCCAATTTAAGCCAATTTCAAAGCATTTCAGGCCATTCAAAACGCTAAAAACGACGCAATTTCACTTTAAAAGATCTATTTCGAGGCATTTTTAGAGCCGAAACAGCAAATTTGATTCATTTCTCGATTTTCAGCTATTTCTAGTGTGTTTTTACCCATTTTCATCCCGAAAAACGCAACTTTAGCTCATTTTTCAATTTAGTCGATTCTGAACCAATTTTGACTAATTTTAAACCATTTTTAGCGCTGAAAACGCATTTTTAGCTTATTTTGACTCATTTTCTGAGCACTTTCCCCATTCATCCCTATTACCTTTGCCCAAGTCATCAGCATTTCCGTAGCACTGATTCATAAAGTTCTCCATACTGTAGCCCCTCCACAAGAGCACTCCAGCCTCTCGATACTGTCCATAGATCAAATCATGGGACTCCAACGCGGCGGCACTTCCCACATGATTTCCCTCCTCGCCGAACGACGTCATATAGAAGGAGATGCGTCCCTGACGCTGAGAATCATACAGAATACGGTCCATTATGTTCAGTTGGGTCATCGTTTTGTACATTTTAATGGCGGTGGGCTCGTCGAAATTCGGGTCCTGAGACTTGTCGATGACATCGCCGACGGCATTGGTGACACGGTAGATTGGGATGGCTGGCGTGTCGTCGGCGTTTATGATTTCCAGCTTTTCAGTGAACGCCGCCTGGAAAACATAGATTTTTGAAGGTTTTAGGGGCAATTAAAGCTACTTTTTGGTGTTCCTAGCACGAAAATCGGCTGGAATTGCCATTTTTTGACCCAAAAACTTGTTTTTTTCGGAAAAATTTTTTTTTTTTTTGAAAAATTCGAAAAAAATTTTTTTTTTTGTACTTTCTAGATTTTTCGTACTTTCTAGCAATTTTTTGATGATTTTAGCTTCAAAAATCGGCTGAAATTGTAAAAAAAAACTTTATTTTTCCAAAAAAAATTTTTTTTTGAAAAAACAATTTTTTTGTAATTTTTTGCCAAAAATCATTATTTTTGGCATGTTATATCGATTTTTTGACAATTTTAGCTCGAAAATTGAGCCGAAAACACACTGGTTTTCGACCCAGAAACTTGGATTTTCACTAAAAAATTTAGTTTTCCAATTTTTTGAAATTTTTATTTTGTCAAAAATCGCAAATTTTGACGATTTTAGGACTGAAAAAATCGTTCTAAATCATTAATTTTTCATCTAGAAATTTGAATTTTTCGGAAAAATTGAGCTTGAAACTTTTGAATTTTTTTCGGGATTTTTGCTAAAAATCTAATTTTTAAAAGTGATTTTTAGCGATTTTTGATGTTTTTGAAATCAAAAATTAGCTCAAAGTGCTAGTTTTTCACCTAGAAACTAGAATTTTGAGCCTAAAAATTTGAGAAAAATTTTTTCCACTTTTTTGTGAATATTCTCCAAAATCTCGATTTTTAGCATTTTCTAGCGTTTTTTCAATGCTTTTGAACCTAAAAATTAGCTAAAATAGCTATTTTCCCATCTAGAAACTTGAATTTTTGCCGAAAAAATGTTTTTTTTTCCAATTTCCCCACCTTCCGATGTCCCAAATACTTGGAACTATACTCATTGAGCCTGAAAGCGTCGCCTTCTACAGTGGAAGCCAAGTTTCTGACGGCTCCAGCGCGTCTGGAAACGTGGAGAAGTGCTCGATGCATCTGGAAATTGGGATATCTCCGAAAAAGCGATTTTCGAGCCAAAAATTGGGGGAATATCGACTGAATTATAAATTATCAAGGTCTAGAGATAGTCTACGTCGCAAAACATGCAAAAACCCCAACAAAAATCGGTCAGAAATCATCAAAAAACGTGGAAATTCTAATTTTTCGCCTTGTCCGCAATGCGTCGTCAAATCTGATGCATTGGTGATGACGGAGAATGTCAATCTCTCTGTTAAAAGATAAGAAAAGAGATAGAAAATTGGAAAAAGGAGAAGAACAGAAAATATTTTTTTATTTGAAGAAGAAAAAGAAAAAAAGAAAAAAATGTTGAAACAAAAAATCAAAAATCATATATCACATATCACAGGATTGGAGAAGAGAGAAAAATGATGACATTTCGCTGAAAAAACAGTTTAAAATCACTGAAAAATCGTTGGAAAATAGCTAAAAAAATCTAAAAAATAGATTATTTAGCCCCGCCGTAAATCCACAATCAAGGCGCGCAGGCTTAAAACTTATTTGGAGTCTCACAACGAATACAGTAACCCAAAACGTTTTTTAGCGATAAAATCGCTTATAATGGGGGAAAAATGCTGAAAATAGGGTCAAAAAAATCGGAAATTAAAAAGGCTAAATTTAAGAAGTTCGCTAAAATTGAAATAAATTAATTTTTTCTGGAAAAAAATGAGTTACTGTAGATTTTGAAAGTTTTGCGGCGGGTCTCACCACGAAAACCTAGTTTTTTGACTGTTACTTGGCTTAAAATCGATGGAAAATTATGTAAATCGGCTCGAAAAATCAGAAATGTAATTTTACATAGGTTAAAAACAAGTTTATTTTCAAAAAAAATTTATTTTAAAGAAAAAAAAGGAAAAAGAGAAAAATTGAGAAAAAGAGCACAAGAAGACTTAAAGAGCAACCATTAGATGATTTCCCAGGAGAGATGCCTTTGTTTTCGACCTGAAAACACACAATTTAGTTAAAAATTCAAATTACGCGCGCAATTTCTATTTCTCGAAAACGTCACCAGTCTACTAGCGGTAAATTCAAATCAAATTCCCCTGATAAAGCGCTCTATTCAGAAAAAAGAAAAACAAAGTGTTGAAAGTGCAAAACTAAGCAGAAAATGAGCACATTGAGCGAACAGGATAATATGGAGACGGCTATCGAGTTGCCGATGCCCAGAAGAGAGCCTACAGTAATCCAGCGAATCTACAAGGAAATCGAGTTTTGGTTTCTAGCGTTTACCAGTGAGGTATGGCTGAAAATTGCTTTAAAAAACCGAATTTTTAGAGTTCTTGGTTTGAATTCTACAGTAACCGGTTTTTCGCCGAGTTTTCAAATAAATTTTTTTTTAACTTGTATATTTTTTAATTCCCAATTTTTTGAGCTATCTTTCATCATTTTCTGACAATTTTGAGCAAAGTTATCGCTTAAAAACTTTTAAGATACTGTATTCGTGTGGGAACTCCAAGCAAAGTTTAATTCTATGCGCCTTTAAAGGGTGTGGATTTACGGGGGGCAAAAATATCGATTTTTAGCGTTTTTCAGCTAATTTTTTTTAATATTTCTGAAATTTTTCTAAGAAATCACATTTTTTAAATATTTCTGATTTTTTGAGCTAATTTTCATTATTTTACAGCGGTTTTTAGCAATATTTTCAACAAAATTGCTAAAAATAGTCCAGGTTACGGTGTTCGTGGTGAGACTCCAACTAAAATTCAATTCTATGCGCCTTCAAGCGAAAATATCCGACTTTTAGCGATTTTTCAGCTGAAGTTCTTCATATTTCATCGTTTTTTCCCAAATTTTTAGCATTTTTTCTAGACAGCCCTTGCCTTCTACGTTCTCCTCCACTGGCTACTCGCTTGTGTCGGCCCTATAGTCATTTCGGACGCCGAAAAAAAGTCTGGAAGAAAAAATGAGGAAAATGGCTCATTTTTGAGCTTCATTTATTTTATGACGACTCTAGTCGCATTTCTATCGCTCATGTCGCATGTCAGTGGACTTTTGATTCCGCTTTTTGCGTTTTGTGTGAGTTTTTTACTGAAATTTTTGAATTTTAGAGAAATGATCGTCAAATTCGTTGTTTGCGGACTTACTTTTACTATTGGCTGTTTTCGGGCATTTTGGGCGTTTTTTGAGCGTAATTTTCAAAGGAGATGTATAAATTAAAGCAATTTTAACAATTTTTAGATAAAAAATTTTTTCACAAAATTCACAATTTCAGACAACTGGAGCTGTAATAATGTTCGCTCTAGTGAATCTCGCTACCCTGGATACTCCGGAATCCCAAGAATTGTTCAGAAATGTATGCCTAAAATCCAACATGACTACTGTATATTTCGATATGATGGAGGCGCATCCAACGGCTACAGTAATCAAATCGTGGTCGATTTTTGTGTTTTTCATCATCACCTGTGCAGCGATACTCTTTCAGTTTGTCCGAAATAAGGAATATGTGGGTTTTTGGGAATTTTGAAAAAAAAAATATTTTTGAATTTTTTGAATTTTTCGAATTTTTAAAAATCAAACATTTAGTTTTTTTTCTGAACTGATATTGGCTGAGAATTGCAAAAAATCACAGTTTTAGACAGCAGAAATCCTGAAAAATTGAATTTTGAGAAATTTTGAAAATTTTTTTTTTTTAATTTGAGTCTTTAAAATTTTTCAAAAACTTGAATTTTCAAAGAAATTGAAAATCTAGCTTTTCTGGATCCAAAATAGCTGAAATTTGCTGAAAATCACAATTTTAGTCTTTTACAATTTAGAAAGCCAAAATAAAAAAAAAAAATTTTAAGGAAAATTTGAATTTTTCAAAAAAAAAAGTGAAAAAAGTGCAAATTTTCGAATCTAAAATGGCTAAAAATTGCTTAAACTCCACATTCTAAACAATAAAATCACTAAAAATCGAAACTTGAAAATTTTGGAAAAATTTCACTTTTCTGAAATTTCCAGCTCCGCCGCCCCCAACCACTATTTGCTCATCATCATCATGGACCAATTGGCTTCTATCCAGGCATGATGATACTCAGAGAAATTCCAATTGGACCCACGAATCCGGATGAGCCGCCCAGATATTCGGTAGGCTGGATTTATGAAAAAAAAATTTTTTTTTCGAAATTTTGGAAAGTTTTGATTTTTAGGAAAGTGCTTAAAATTGACATGAAAAGCGAAAAACTTTAAAAATTTTCAAAAAAAAATTTTGTTAAATTTTTTTTTCAGAAATTTTTTTAAAATTTCAGATTTTTTTTCCAATTTCCAGACCCTCGAACCAATTTCCACACCACCAAAACCAAGAACTACAAACGCGGAAGCTACAGTAACCCCGTGCAGTTCGTCTACAGTAACTACCTCTCCACCGAGATACAGCTATTGGGAACGAACGTTTGGAAGACGTGCTGGTCAACGGACGACGACTCAATCTTCAGATGTATCGTCGAATCGAGAATTTAGTACTAAAACTGCGAAAAATCAATAAATGTTGGGACTTTTGAATTTTTGAAAAAAAAAAATTTTTTTCATCATATTTTCAGCAGAACATTTTTTTGGAATTTTCAGATTTTTTAGAACTTTAGAAAAAAACAATTTTAGCTGGAATTTTCGATGCATCATGCGGAAAGTCTCTAAAAACCCATAAAATTTTGGATTTTCGAAAAAAAATTTTTTTGGAATTTTCAGATTTTTCAGAAGTTCAGCAAAAAAAATTCTGGAAATTTAGATTTTCCGTGTTTTTATTTTCAAAAAGATTCGAAATTTCGAAAAAGCAATGTTTCCGAAAATTCTGGAATTCCAACATTTTCAGAATTTCAAAAATATTAAAAAATTCAAAATATACACGTGAACCGACAAGAAGAATCACTGGAAAATATGGGTGAAAAATGAGGGATTTCCATGGGAGACAAAAATTCTAGGCTACAAACTACAAAACATTCTGGATTTTTTTCTAATAAAAATTGCTGAATAATGAAGAAAAATAGGGGAAGAGTGCCTAAAAATGAGGGAAATTTGATGAAAAAAGGAAATTAAAAAAAAAAAAAAACTTTGATGGCCTAGAAAAAATTTCTAGGCCATCATAGACAATAGACTACAAACTACAAAAATTTTCCGGAATTTTTTTGGAATAAAAATGGCTGAAAAAATGGAAGAAAAAGTGCCTAAAAATTGATGGCCTAGAAAAACCTTTCTAGGCCATCAATTTTGGATAAATTTGGTATCACTCGAATCGCTGGAAAATGAGCAATCTAAAGAAACAAAAAAAATCTATTTATCATCGTTATCAGTTGCTGGCACAATAATCACAGATTTCGGCGATCGATCGGCGAAATGGAAGACGTCAAAGATGACCTCGATGACGATTAAAATGATAATCATCCATTCCAAATGGGACGCGTGGCGGAGTGCAATTGTGTTGTCCACCATTTTCACTAGCTCCTCACAGTAGTCCAGGCGTTTGTTGAGCAGTCTGAAAATTGGGATTTTTTTTTGAATTTTTGGGGGATTTTAAAGGTGGGAAATTTGAATTTTGGGCAAAAAGTGAGATTTTTGGGTCCAACTTTAAGTCTCTGGAAGAAAAATAGCGATTTTTCAGCCTTTGGAAATTTTCAGATAATTTTAAGCTGAGCAATTTCAGTTTTCAATGATTTCTGGGTCAAAATTTCTGAAAATTGGTTTTTTAGCGGGGAATTTTGAAAATTCAGGTCCATTTTTGGCTATTTTAGGTGAATTTCAGAGAATTTTTTCAGCAGAATTTAGTCGATTTTAAGCTATTTTAGGGTATTTTTTTAACCAGGAATCTTGAATTTTTGAGATTTATTATGTATTTTTAGGCGGGAAATTTGAATTTTTGAGAAAAATTGGATTTGGTAGGCAGGAAAATAACGTTTTTGATGAATTTTTGCCGGGAAATTTGATTTTTAAGCTTTTCCTCACCCAATTCTCCTATCCAACGAGAAATGTCGCCCAGCCAACATATAATACTTCTCCAGCTCCGGTCGCTCCCAATAGAAATCCTTATTCAAAAGTGTGCAATCCAAATTGATAGAATGTCTTAAAGCCGCGAATTCTCCAGATCTCATCAACGCCTCCTTCCGGCTCCACGGAATTTTTCCACGTGTCAACGATTTTGTAGTCGTCGAGAGAGGCTCGGCTAGGTTGTTTAGGAGACTCTCCCATACGCCAATTTTCACAGAAGCTGCGAACGCTTGAGATAAAGCGAATCTCTCGAGGATGGCCTCGTTGGAGCCGTGGAAGGCTTCTAGATGTTTGCCAGAGAGAAAGAATCGGTCCTGACGGATTGAGGAGACTGTGGATCTGAAAAAAAATGAACTTTTTAGCACAAAAATTTGCTCAACTCTTCAAAAAACTCACTGCTCTGAAAATTTATAAAACATCCTGTCCTGTTCATCCATGACAATTCTGGAATCATACGGTGACTGAGCGTATCTCTCCAACTCCCTTAAAATCTGAGATCTCTGACTGGAGTCCACATTCCAAAACACCACGACGCCATCTCGAAACACGAATATCTCACTCAACTCCGCTGGGTTGATCGTGTACTCCAACTTCTTCACAAAATGCAACGTGTCATCTGCCTCGTCGTCGATCGATGTTATATTGTACATTCCGTTGAGATGTCCGTCCATTAGAATATCATTCAGATTCACTGATTCTGATAGCGCCATTGCTACCACCGATGGTTCCCTGAGCTGAATCTAGGTAGGTTTTCTAAGGAGGCACTGAGAAACCTAAATTTCTCACCGATTTTGGCACAACTGAAGACGCTACTGGCCGCCTTTTTCTTAGTTTTCTAACTTGGACCCGTTCCAGATTAATTATCTCTTTAGGTAGACTCTCACTCCTTAACATTGCTGTGAAAGAGATCTGACGTCTAACTAGAGGACCCGGCCTTGTGGCTATCGCCGCTGCCCGCAAGAGGGATTTGAGCATCTGATTTTTTGTTTTTTGTATGATCACTTGACAAAGAAAAGAGATTGGACATTTCCAATTCAATATTTACGAAAATTACGTTTTGCACATGGAGGACATATTCAGTTAAAATTAACGATTTATTTGCCGACAGATGAACGAAGGCGAACGAAGATTACTTCAGCTTCTTCTTGATGCGGAGATCGTTGGAGTGTCCGCACTTCTTCTTTCTGCAGTTGCTGGCACGTGGTGGGAGACGAGCGTAGCACTTTCTGCAGATCTGCTTGTCGCAGTTGTACTTCTGGGCAAGCTGACGGAGCGATGGCTCGATGATTCCTGGAAAATTTAGACTTGTAAATTGTTCTTTCTACGCTTAAAAAACGAAACAAACCTCCACGAAGACGGAGAACCAAGTGGAGAGTGGACTCCTTCTGGATGTTGTAGTCGGAGAGAGTACGTCCATCCTCGAGTTGCTTTCCGGCGAAGATCAATCTTTGCTGGTCTGGTGGAATTCCTTCCTTGTCTTGGATCTTAGCCTTGACATTCTCGATGGTATCGGAGGCCTCGACTTCGAGGGGAATTGTCTTACCCGTCAGAGTCTTGACGAAGATTTGCATGACTGAAAATTACAGAAATAGGGCGGTGAAGAAGGGGGGAAGAGAAGAAAAAAGCAAGCGAACGAATATCGATTTATGGCTGTCGAAACTAGTTCTGTCGTTCGAAAATGTGTAATAACCGCATTTCATAATTTAATAGATGTCACAGCTAGATTTCGCACTGAAAAACAAACGAGAAAAAATTTAGTTCGAAATGAACTAAATTTCTGTTGATGAAAAATTTAAGCTCAAAAATCGTCGATTTTCAACCAAAATTAATGTGAAAATGTGTAACAATCGAATTTCTGCACTCGAAATCGGTTACAGCTCAATTTCTCACTAAAAATCAAACAAAAAGAGACATTTGGAGCTAAATAAACGAATTTCTGTCGGTGAAAAATTTTAGCTGAAAACTGCTGATTTTCAACCAAAATTGACGATAAATACGCATTTTTTGGTTAGAAAACTCGATAGAATCACATTTTTCAACAAATTTTGTGAAAAAAACGACGAAAAATGACGAAAAATAACCAAAATTCAGGAAAAAAGGCTTGAAAAATTTAGGCCCAGGCACCAAAACCCGTTTCGCCGACGCGGCGGGTCTCGCCACGAAAACGATGCGAGACGCAGGTACGGTAGAGAGCCGTACGATTTACGAGCGGTTTGAATTTATTTTTCCGGGTTTTCTATTGATTTTTCTTGTTTTTCGCAGGATTTTTCTAGTTTTTAGGTAAAAAGTATTGAGAAATAGGTTGAAAATTCGATTTTTCAGGTCAAAATTCGTTATTTTCAGCTACTTTTACCCTAAAAATGAGTTTTCCAAAAAAAAATAATTTTTCGAATTTTCAGAAAAATGCCTGGCGGTGACTACAATGCTGTGAAGGGTGGCGGATTGAAGCTGAAAGCTGGTAAAAAGAATTTGTACGAATTTTCATTGAAATTTTCACCAAAAAGCCAGTTTCTTTCAGATTCAAAGTTGGAAAGGATAAAAAGAAGAGGAACAAGGACGAAGGCGAGAAAGTCGATCCGGACACTGTGGAAAACGGTGGATGGCGTAAAATTGCAGAGAGTACGATATGAAAGGAGGAATCAATGTGGCTATCGAGGTGGCGAGTGGAGAAAAGGGGTTTACAAGAACCTATATCGCAGCCATGGACAATGGAAAATTTACCATAGGATTTCCACATCCAGAAGGCGAGGGACCGAATCCTGAGGAGATTTTCGCGCTGGTTAAGACCCCCGACGACTCGAAAATCAGTTTGAAGACTGGATTCGGCAGATATGTGGGCGTAGACTCAGAATTCCAGCTTGTCGCCTTCTCAGAAGCTATTGGAGTGCGAGAACAGTTTTTGCTCGTTTTCCAAGACGTAAGTGCCGTGTTTTTAAGCCAAAAAGGCTGAAAAATTCCAATTTCCAGGGAAAAACCGCCTTCCAAGCCGTCGCCTCGCCACTTTTCCTGTCTACCGTTGCTAGCAAAGAGGGAAATGTCCACGTGGCAAGCAGAACTGCCACTGAGAATGAGATGGTTAATGTAAGCGTTTCTAGCTCAAAATTAGCCAAATTTGATGCAAAATTGGGCTAAAAATCGTTGAAAATCGAGCTAGAAAGAGCTGGCTCAAATACCTATTTCAAAGAACTTTTAGCTCAAAAATTGCTGATTTTAGGCTTATTTTAGCTTAAAATCAACCGAATTTGCTATTATAGCCTATAAAAAGTTTGAAAAATCATATTTTTCCCTCTAGATTCGTACTGAGCTGGAAGGAGGCGAAAAATGGCTTAAAAAGGCTTTCTAGACTAAAAATGACGGATTTTCAACCTTATCTAGCTCAAAATCAACCAAATTTGCTTCAAAAACCCTCTAAAAGCCTCAAATTTCTTTCAGATCCGCACCGACGCCGTCAAAGAAGGACCAGTGGATTGGCGATCAGCTGAGGACCGAAAGAATGCGAGGGACTGCGAAACAGCCTACGTGAAAATGTACCAACACTCAAAAGTGGACCTTAAAAATCGCCATATCGCAATTGATGTCAAAGATCGGAAGGGTGTGAAGAAGGCGCAAGCGGAGGGAAGTGCACACGAGCTCCTACTGGATCGCCGCATGAAAATGAAGTCGGATCGATATTGTTGATCTCCTAATTTTCTAAAAAAATTCCTCTTTTCTGTACATTTTCCCACTGTATACCTCTTTCTTCCTGAATAAATAACCAAATGAAGGCCGTGGCCTTCTTTCAAGTACGAAATTGGTCTTGGGCATATCCGGTTCTACCGGAAAGGGTATAAAAAGGGATGGCAAATGTATCGAAAAATCATAAAAATGCCAAAAATCCTCGCTTTCCTACTTCTCCTCGCCGCTTCCCCTTTGGCAAACGCGGTAGGTTCATCATTGCCCTCCGCGGGAAGTGTAGCTGATGCACCCGGTGGCTTACTGGCTAGCGCGCCTGCTCCTTGCGCGCAAAGCTGGGGGCTCGACTCCGCATCACACCACTTTCATTTTTATTTTTTTTCCTTTTAGTGTGTCACTTCTGGAGTGTGTGGCTCATCCTATTGTGCTGCTCCACCCGCCGTTTCATGCTCCCCGTCGTCCTGCCAGCCTGGATACTCTTGTGGACAGTACGGATGTGCTAGAAATCGGGCGAGAAGTGCGTTGACCCAGAAAGTGGATGGCATTTTTATAGATTCGACGAATTCGAGAGAGCTTTTGGGTTCACAAGAGAGTTCCAGAGAAACCCCTCCAAAATTTAAGGTAGTTTTTAGCAAAAAATTGTTCTATTGACTTAAATCCAGGCCACCAAAAACAACATCTTCGGTCTGCGTCGAGAATCTTCTAGAGGGTCTTCTGTGGAGTCCACTTTGCCGAATTACGAGAATTCTACACTTTTACAGTACACCGTAAGTTTTGAGGGTCATTTTAAGCCAAAAACCAAGAAAATTGGTTGGAAATTAGCAAAGTTATGATGATTTGAAGTTTTTGGGTCATTCCAGAAGTTTCTTTTGGCTGTAACTTTCTTAGTTTTAGTTCAAACTCAGTGAAACGTAATGGGTTGGACTAGGCTTAAAAACGGCTTCAAATTAAGTATAAACATGGCCTAGAAAATATAAATTTTTACAGGTTACGGTAGTCTTTAAAATTTGGAACATTCAAGAAACTAATTTCAGCTGTAACTTTTTCAGTTGTGGATCAATTCGAATAAAATTAATTGGGTTAGATTAGGCTTGAAAAGAGCTTTAAAATGAGTATAATCTTGGCCTAGAAAAATTTCTAGGCCACCCTTGCAAAAGTTCGGCCACCAGTGTAATTTGCTCATAACTCTCTTTGTTTTTGTCCAAACTTGATCAAATAACTTGCATTAGATTTTCCTTGACAAGTGCTTCAAAATGAGTATAATCTTGGCTTAGAAAAATTTCTAGGCCATCCATGCAAACGTTAGGCCACTAACTCCTTTTGCACATAACTCGCTTAGTTTTTGTCCAAACTCAATGAAACAACTTGTATTCGATTTGTCTGGATAATGGCTTCAAAATGAGTATGATCTTTTGCATGAGTGGCCTAGAAATGTTTCTAGGCCGCCCCTGCAAAAGTTAGGCCACCATTGTTCTAGGCCTATACTCTCATTTTATGTTTATTACGTTCCACCACTTTACCCCCACTATATCTCGCCACGGGTATAATTTTCTCGGATTGCGCAACTGTACACATATCCGGTTATCCCTCACCCCCATAATTGCCCCTGATGTTTCAAAGTTCTAGAACTTTCCCTTTTATTTTTTCTCCTTTTTCCAGAATCCCAACTTCATCTTCCGTCAATGTTGCGAACAACGGGGACTTCCAGATGCCTGTCTGAATAAGTGTCATTTCAATAGCTACACTAAGGATGCGGTAAGGAGGCGCATAACTCGAAAACTACTGTAGCTAGAGAATTTTTGTTAATTAGGGAATTGTAGGAAATTTAATTTTACATATTTCAACAATTAACAACTTTTTGATAGCTAACGTAGTTTTTGAGATATGCGCCTTTAAAGTTAACGCGTCGCTTGGTGTGCCCGGCGCCAAGGAGGAAACATGCTAACCTTAAAGGCGCATATCTCGAAAACTACTGTAGCTAGAAAAAATGTGTTAACAAGTGAAATGTAGGAAATTGAATGTTAGACAGTTTTGTAGTTTTCAACATTTTGATAGCTAGCGTTGTTTTTGAGATATGCGCCTTTAAAGTTAGAGCTTGTTGTTCAATAAAGGAGTGAAAATTCTCGTGTTGTATCTCGCGAGGCAATGGAGCTATCTAAGTTCTCTATACTGTAAAAACGCAAAATTTTATAACAAAAAACATCGAATTTGAAATTTTGATTTAGCTACTACGGTTTTCAAGATATGCGCCTTTAAAGTAGGTGCCCCTTTTTCTGGCGCCTAAATGAAAAATTCTCCAACTTTAAAGGCGCATATCTCAGGAACTACTGTAGGTAGTAAAACTTTAAAAAGTAAATATTGTGCGAAATTTTGTGCTCAACAATTTTGTAATCGGTTAAATTTAGATAGCTGTCCTAGTTTTTGAGATATGCACCTTTAAAGTGGGCGCGCTTTCTTGCCCGACTCCGAGGGCGCGCCAATTTTAAAGGCGCATATCTCAAAAACCACGCTATCTAAAAAAATTGTGTTAACTACAAACATATTCTACATCAAATTTTACAAATATTTTTAGTCCACAACTTTTTTCTATCTACCGTACTTCCTGAGTTACGCGACTTTAAACCCGTTCCCATGTTTCAGCTCCAAGGAATGTACTTCAAAACCGATGGTTGCCCGCTTGAAGCAGCAGCCGATATGCATTTCTGTGCAGCTCAAGGGAGAGATCATACTCAGGTTTTTAAGTCCTACAGTAACCCTACAGTAATGCAAAAAAATTGTTTAGTGCTGTGTTCGAAACGGTGTCACAACCACATTGGCTGGGCAGAAGTGTCTAACATTCTGTGATCAGCGACCAGATAGGTAAGGACATCTGGATACACGGAAATATAGATGGAATTTCAGAGTGACCAAACTGGACTACTCGTATGTGCCATGCTATGATAGATTTGAGAATATGAAGCAGTGCTTCTACAATGAGATTAAGGCCAAGGCTGAGCAACAATTTGGAGCAAGAAGGCGATGATTATTGGGTCATTTTGGCTCATTTTTAACTTATGAGTGTCTTTGAAAATGTCTTTCTTTATGTAAATAAATCCGTTTTTTAACCTGAAAATTCTAGTTTAAAGTTTCCCAAATTTTGCCACATTTGAAACTCTAAAAGTCATATTTTCGACTGATTTGATTCCCAAATTTTGAGAAACTGCAAAAATGTTAACTTCAATTCTATAATCTCTTTCCTGTTCCCTTCAACCATCACCCAAGAAGACCAAACTACAGTACCCCAGGTGGATTACTGTAGCTCTCAACAATGCGAACCGGGGCTTCAAGGAAACAAGGGATGCCAACACTATGGTTACTGTAGCCCCAAGGAGAAAGTTTGTTGTCTAGGCAAGTGCGCTCTACTGAGAATGTCTCAATAAAGGTTTATAGGACACTATGGACAATGCAAAAGAATTGGAAGTCGTGCGATTCGACTACAGCAAAACTGCAAAAACGATGAGGAGTGTGGAATGGGAGTTTATTGTGATAGGAGTATGAAGATTTGTTGTACAGGTATATTTTTCTCGTTTCCTGTAAAAGATATCAAGAATCTGTTAACTAATAATTTGTTTATCATAATATCAGTAACATTTCATCAGTTTACTACTTTTTGATATCTCTTACAGTAACCGAGATAATTGAGCTCAAAGTTGACAGTGTAGGGGGGGGGGCTTCTGTTACAGGTTTTGTGATGTGTGTCTGTCTGTCCAGATGTCTCAAATTTTTAAAAGGACAATCTCCAGAATCCTATTGCCCAGATGGTTTTACTTACAAAAATGTGGAACCGTTTTGTAAGGAGAATAAAGATTGTCCAAGCAACACTACTTCTATAGAGGAAGCATGCTGTCCGATCCGTGAGTCATAACTTACGAACTAGAAGAGTTAGAGCAAAACTGCCAATTGCAAAAATGTGTAAAATTAAATTTCCTATATTTTGTTTGTTAACAATGTTTTAGTAGCTTCATTCGATATTGAGTTATGCGCCTTTAAAGTTAGCCTACCCTGCCTGCGCCGCTCCTTCTGGGAGGGCGGGCGCGAGAGAAGGAAGGGGCGCCGGGGAGGTCGTTTTTAAAGACGCATAACCCCAAAACTAATTTAGCTAGAGCAAAATTGTCAACTGTGAAAACATGTAAAATTAAATTTAACACATTTTACTGATTAACAATGTTTTGATAGCTTTATTAGTTTTTGAGATATGCGCCTTTAAAGTTGAAGGGCTGCGGGTGGGGGAGCACTCAAAAAGAAGGGGCCTCTGGCCAACTTTGAAGGCGCATGACTCTCCCAATGTTATTTTCAGACAAAACTAAAGACACTGAAATCATTCCACTTTACTTCCCATTTACCACACAACGAAAATGCTCCGATTACGATGCTCCGCCATTACGCAACGTGTTTTGCAGGAGAGACATTGGAAAATGGGCGATTTTGGGTGAATTTCGAGTTAATGGAACCGAAAATGTGGTCCCTGAGAGATACTGTACGAGGAATATGTAAAATGTTTTAAAAATCTAGCTTCTGAAAGCTTTTTTAAGAGAAATATGCGCCTTTAAAATTAGCGCGCCGGCGCCAAGGTGGCGTGCTAACTTTAAAGGCGCATATCTCAAAAACTACTGTAGGTACCAAAATTTTAACAACTAGAAAAATGTGTGAAATTTAATATTCTACAATTGTCATAAAATGTTTTTGTCGTATCTCTTTTCCTTCTCAAGTTATACCCATTTCAGTGACTGCTCCCCTTCCACCGTCTGTGTCCTAGTCTCCGATGCGATTGGTTTATGTTATGAGGACCCGATGGTTTGTGTGGCCTAACTTTTGTGGCCTAACTAGTTAAAACTAGACCATTTCAGAAATCACCATCCACCATCGATTTTCTGGATACTTATTGGCTAACTTTTTATTGCATCCTGCCAACCGCTGGACTCATTTATGGATGCATGATTTTGATCCATAAGAAAATGCATTATAATTATTATCACTAATAAATAGTTTTAAAAGTTTGAAAGTGGACATTTTACAGAATTTTTCCCATTTTTCAGATTTTTTATATCTATCCCGGTTCTAGAAATATGCGCCTTTAAAGTTGTTCCCCCTAGGCGTCAGGCGAAGAGGCGCGCGACTTTAAAGACGCATAGCTCAAAAAATAAGAAAACTATCTAAATGTGGTCAATTACAAAAATGCTCAGCATAATATTCTACGCATCTTGTCAGTTGGCAACTTTCTGATATCTACAGTAGTTTCTGAGATATGCGCCTTTAAAGTTGGCGCGCGTTTTCTAGCCAGTGAAAGGGAGCGCGCCAAGAGGAGGAGAAATGCGCCAACTTTAAAGGCGCATATCTCAAAAACTAGGAAAATTATCGAAATGTAGTCAATTACAAAATTGCTCAGCATAAAATTTTACACAATTCTACGTTTTCGAAATCTTGCTATCTAACGTAGTTTTTGAGATATGCACCTTTAAAGTTGACGAGTGCTTTTAGAACAACATTGAAAGCAGTTAAACTAATCCTTCATTCCACTAAATCATTAAATCAATAAGTTCTACTCAATCAACGACTCCTCTTGTTCCTCCTCATCGCCATCCACAAATTCCACGTCATCATCTCCGGGCTCCTGATCTGGCAACTGATCGCCAATCACTTTTTTCCATTCCGGCCAATTTTTAGTGACCCTATCAAACGCCGGATGCTGTTTCTGGATCATAAATGCTCCGCGGAGAGGATTTTGTCATTTCGGAACTTTAGAATTGTGTAAATCGCAAAACAGGGGATAGCCAAGAATGGGATTGAAGTGACGAACCAGCCAATGACCTGGAAATTTGGTTTATATCTCAAAAACTAAAAATGCTATTCTAAAAATTCAAAAAGCAAATTGTAGCTCATAAATTTTTACACATTTTGTCTGTTGGAAATTTTTTGATAGCTTTGCTAGGAGCCTAGATATAAGCGTTGGAAGAGAGCTCTCTGCACAGAGAGGGAAAGGGAGCACGCAATAGCTGGAGACGCAGGCAGTGGTGTCTGCGTCTCCTCTGTGTGCTACCGCTGCTCGCGCTCTCTCGTAGCGATAACTTCAAACAGTTATATCTCGAGAACCATGTTAGCTATCAAAAAACTTCCAATTGGTGAAATGTGTAAAATTTTACGTTCTACAGTTTGCTAATTTTAAATTGTGTTCTAACTTTTATGGGTTTCGAGTTATTTCAGACTTACATCAAAAATCGGTGGATACTTAACTCCATCTCCCTCATATGGGTATCTTCGATTAACCACAAAAACTACCATAACCCCGATTGAGCAAAGCGGAGTAATAACAATCCACATTCCAACCCATACATAACTCGCCGGTCCAAACCATTTCGCCAGTCGACTTTGTGGCTCACCCCACAGCTCGGTCATGTCTTTTCGGAAATTCTCGAGTCCATAGCAAAAGCTTACTGTAATACACATAAATGCCGTACCCAGGGTTGCAGAAACTCCTGCACTATACTCATCGTACAAGTCGAACCAGTAGTAGCCGGCCTAGAAATTAGATGTTGGAACTTTAAAGGCACATATCTCAAAAACTACTGTAGCTAGAAAAAAAAAGTTGTTGACTACAAAAAAGTGTAAAATTAAATGTTCTATATTTTTGTAATTGACACAATTTTGATAGCAAACGTGGTTTCGGAGATATGCGCCTTTAAGTAGGTGTTACCCTTTTCTGGCGCTCCGTCGGGGAGGTCAACTTTCAAAGCGCATATCTCAGGAACAACTGTAGTTATGGAAATTTTAAACATTGGAAATTGTGTAAAATTTTATGCTTATCAATTATGTAATTGTTTACATTTTCCTAGCTACTGCAGTTTTGAGATATGCGCTTTTAAAGTTGGGCGCCGCTCCTCCTGGGAGGGTGAGCGCGAGAGAAGAGACCGCCCTCTCAGGAACTACTATATCTCAGGAACTACTGTAGCTATGGAAGTTTGAAAACGTTTATATTGTGTAAAATTTCATGCTCATCAAGTTTGTAACAAATGACACATTTCTAGCTTTTGTAGTTTTTGAGTTATGCGCCTTTAAAGTGGAGCGTTTCCTTGCCGCACGCCAGAGGGTCTGCAAACTTTAAAGGCGCATATCTCTAAAACTAGTAAAGCTAATAAAAAACTGAAAACTATTAAATATGTAAAATTTTATGCTCTACATTTTGTAGTTAACAATATGCTAGCTTTACAATCTTTTGAGATACAAGCCCCTAAACTCACATCACTTGTCATCACAAGACCCAACGAGAAGAAAGTGAGAGACACCATGAGTACAGTAAGCCATCTATGACGTCGAAGATATCCAAAACGATCTGTTAAGCATGAGCAAACGATTTCCACGATCACTGAAACAAAAAGAATGCAAATGCGCTCCATTGAGAAAATCCCAAATTTACCGATTTCCGTGCTCATTCCCAACAAAAAGAGCATCAAAAAAAAGAGAGCGTGCCAGAGATAAGGCATTGGCATTTGAGATATAGCTTCTGTATAAACTATGAATGCCAGAGCATGTCCCTCTTTTATAACAGCTGGAACTTCGATTTGTCGTTGTTTGGCTAGAAAACCGAGCGTTGCAAACACAGCGGTACCTCCTAGAAGAGACATCATGGTGTCGCAAAGGACAAGGAGGTAAGCATCCTAGAAAAAAAATCGATAAAAGTTGGACCAGTCGGTGCAAAAGCAAGCTACAGTACCCACCCCCCCCCCTTCGACCAAAAATTCCAAATTCAGCTCTCGCGCTTCCCTCTCTCCCTGCGCCTCTCGCCCTCCGGTTTCCCGCTTCCTTGTCATCGCCCACCGCTCCTCTCTTCTCCCGGTGATCAGGTGGCCGAGTGGTTAAGGCGATGGACTGCTAATCCATTGGGATTTTCCCGCGTGAGTTCGAATCTCATCCTGATCGGATGTCTTTTTTGCTTTTTTTAAACGACTTTTTGTTGGTTCTAAACTCCAAAAAAAAAAAACATACCCTATACCAATTATACGACTTTTTGTTATACGACGCTATATTCATGAGTCCTCCTTGTCCAATAGAAAGGGAGAAACAGATTTGGGTCATTGCCCCAACCCAAGCTTTTAGGCTCCAAAGAGAACTAAAGTCGGATTTGGCCCAAAGAAAGTAGAGGCCAGCTGAGGCGCCATCCAAAGTGATACCACGGATCATGAGGATTACGATAATAACATATGGTAGGATTACGGTAAAGTATGAGAGTTTTCCAATCATTTTCATTCCACGAATCAGGATGATGGAGGTTAGAATCCAACAGACCGCAACGGCTCCTAATGTTGCCCAGTTGATGCTGTTGAAATCGGTGAAACCAGTGGAAGGATTTATTACGAAGTTTCTGGAATTTTTTTTTACTGTTGACAAAATTGTTCTAGCTGAAATTGTTCATGTGATATGCGCCTTTGAAGTTAGGTTTCCCTATCCAAGTGCGCGTTAATTTCAAAGACTCATATCTCAAAAACTACTGTAGCTATATAGATCAAAATAGTTTAGAAATATGTAGAATCTTCTATTTCACATTTTTGCAGTTGACAAAATTTTTCTAGCTATTACGGTTCATGAGATAATATGCGCCTTTAAAGTAGTAGTCGCATTCCCATTGGCGTTTGCGAAGAGGCACACCAACTTTAAAGGCGCATATCTCGAAAAATGAAGTGGCTATTTAAG